CTGCGTGGAAGTGCTGCGTTTCACGTGCACAGTGCAGCGGGAGAGCAAAGAGAGGGGAGCGACGTAGCGCTGTAACAGGGATTTACTCTCAAAGTTCTGGAAAATGCAGTACCTTGAGCTCTTTAATTCTTTTTCTCTGCCACAGAACTTTCCTTATTAGGAACTTTTGGTATCTGTAGAACTTAACCTCTTGAGTGATGAGGCCTTGCAGTCTTACTTAGAATCACTTGTAATCAAAATGGAAGAATCTGTCCAAAACCAGAAACTTGGTTTTGTTGGTGCTGTAAGTCTGCATGGTTTACTACAAACCTGCCTCACCTCTCTGAAGGTATGTGGAAGCAGAAGATAATTTCTGCAGTCTTTGGGTTTGGATTGTCTTTGGGCAGGGGAGGACTTGGCTGTGGCACAGCACGGCGCGCTCCATGGCTCAAGGTGAACCGGCTGCAGTGCTTTCTGCTCCTTGGTCCTCATCTACGTGCTGTGAAAATGGGTGCTAATGGGGAAAAATCACAATTGTGACTCAGCGAGGTGGAATTCTGTTGACAAAATCTGAATTCAGCTCAGCCAAAGGAAATGCTTTTGCAAGTGTAGATGAATATCTCAGGAATGACCATTTATTCTAGCTTTCTTGGAAGAAAAAAGAAGAGCGAGAAGAAAGAAAGAGGGGAAAAAGAAGATGAACGTTTACATACATTTTCTCACCAGAGGAAGGTGAGCAGATGTACACGCAGAAACAGATCCATTCCTTGGGGGCAGTTTTTTTCTGAGATAAAACTTACAGGAGTTACCTTTGGGTAAGTTAAACCACTGCTGGAAGGGTTTGGTAGGAAGGTGGGACGCGGTTGCCTTCTTAGCTAGGACAGCGTGTAACGTGTGTGCCTCACCTCATACAGAAAGCAGCTCTCCTACGGCACAACATCATCCAGTGCAATCGAGTTTTGAGTGAAGGAATTGTTAAGGTTGGAAAAGACCCCTAAGACCATGTAGTCCAACAGCCAGCTCACCCCCAGCATGCCCACTAACCACGTCCCTCAGTGCTACATCCAAGGATGATGAATCCACCATCTCCCCGGGCAGCCTGTTCCAAAACATCAGCAAGGCTGCACGGATGGGTTTTCACGTGAACACTGCAGCAGTGCTCACCCAGCCTCTGTTTTTCATTCCGCCCCTTGCTTTATGAAGGTGTTGGACAGAAAGGGTTTGGGCAGGAGGGAATCTCCTCTCCTGGGGAACTGTAGGAAGACCCCGTCCTTTCCATCCTCGCTGAAAACCACCGCTATTTGACATCATCAGCACTTAATTTTGACACAGTGCATATGTAGAATAGCTTAACTCCAGAGGGCAGGCCTTAAGAATTAGCAGGGCGCTGTGAGCCAGCAGATAGTAGTGAGCCCATTGATAGCAGGGCGGAAAAGGCTAAGCAAATAGTTTGAAAGAATGGGCTAATTGTGTGCTTATTGCCATTGTCCTGCAGCTGCAGTGCTTTGTATGGCAGCAAAGCACACCAGGAGCCAAGCTTGGCTTGGCATCCGTAACTCCAGCCTGGGAATACAATATACAGGGCATGCAAGTATCAGAGAGGACAATTAGAAGTTTTGAAAGATTAAACACAAAATTGCAATGGAAAAAGAGTTTGTATAGCTGCCAAGGCTGGCTTTGGGGGCTTGGTGTTGTAAAATGCACTCGTATGTGTACAGAAAAAAGGCAAGTTGATATTTAGGAACTGAAAAAACAGGAAATATGTAGATGAGGCTTGTATGTGTCACACTGTAACGCTGCATATGTAATTAAAGATGATAGTAACTCATTTACATGTGCTTTCCATCCTGCAATAACTTTGCTCTATCAGCAGGCCTGAGGACATAAAACAGGTAACCTTAACAGAACGGTTCCGATTTTTTTCCTCATTTAGGATTTTAGGTGGTTAGCTCTCTGTGCACTTTAATAACACGGGCACCAGTGATGTAATGAACACTTTCCTAAATAAGTACCAGCTTTATTGTGGGCCTAATTTGGGATAGTGGTAATATAACATTGCACTTAGATGTGAATTCAGAGGAGATGTGTGCACCAGCCGAGTTTCTCTTACTTTACATTGCTGAACTTACTGTGCAGCATGCGGAGCAATTCCGTGCACACTGTATATAAAGAATTAAAAGAATTTATTTGATCATTTGATGTGCTGGCTTACTCTATTCCACAATTTTCTTTGCATGTAACCAAGTAATTTGCACTCAAATGTATTTCTGCAACCTTTTTTTCTGCCAGAAATGTCCATTTCAGTGACGCATCTAAGTGGTTCCTTCGCCTCCAACAACCTTGGGAATAAAAGATGTTTTTAATGGTCTGATCGTGTTTTAATATTAAGAAAGAGAGACGTTGAGAGCCTCTCTGTAAATGACTTAAAATTCAGGACAAAAATGCAACCTCCACGACTTGGAGCAGAAAGCAAGTTTGCACTGTTAGAAAAAGAGGAAGGTCTTGGAGATTCAGGCTAATGAAAACAACATGTCAGTAGAAAAACTGCATATCTGTATAAAAATGTTATTGTGCCTGAACAGGGTTTTCAGAAAGTGAGTTATTTGACATGGTGGGTTTTCTGGGAGGTTACAGCATAGAAAAATGGAAGAAATTAGGCTAGAAGGTGCATTCTGGCAGCCACTTATTTTATTGCAATCCAGCAAAAAAAAAAAGGGAGGGGGGGGGAAATGAGCTTTTGAAAATTGGGAATTGAAAATACCAAAGCTTTGAAAGTTTGAGGAAAACCCTGGGTCTTTATTTTTATCTTTTCTCCTCCTTTGTTGGGGGAAGTGTTAAAAGGAAAAAAAAAAAACCAACTGAGTTTTTTGCTTAGGAAAAGAGGTTACTGCCAACTGGGAGGCTGTTTTGGAGGTGTTCTCACCTGCTCTGGTGTGAGCCTAGGTGCACTGCCAGGGGGCCATGCCTTCCTGAAATGACAGAATGGGGAGGGATCTGAGTGTTGCTACCACCGACAGATCTGCAGCAGAACTGGAGCAACTGGGAGCATCTCCGAAAAACTGCTGTCTGTTTGACAAAGTTTTTCTTGGCAAAGAAACCCTCATTTAAGTCTCAGGAGCAGAGAGGAACAAAATTTCATTACATGTAAATAATTGTCTAAAAATAGAAGCACAGATTGTTTTTCACATTAAGTTCCTTCTTCAAGCTGAAGTACATCACACATTACCAAAAAGTGACTATCAAAAGTCTCCACTGAAAAACGGAGGGTCTGTGTTAGCACTGCAAAAAATACAGCGTTTAGGGAGAACCATTTTGAATGGAGTTGTCGGTATCCTCTCATTTAGCTTGCTCTTTTATTTTAAAATTTATCTGAAGACACAGTCTATTTTATTTAGAGCAAGTTTTGAAAGAGGACACTGTGGTTTATGGCCACGTGTCAGGTTTGATAGCACTATGCCATGATTTAGCAAAGCACTTAAACACATGTCCACATCCCACTGAATTTGGTAGGAAGTGAAGAAGTAGAGGAAGAACTGTTTGCTGTGCAGCAAGCTTCTTTCAAGGGGGAAAAATAAAAGCAAAAAAAAAGCAAATGAGGATTTGCCTTCATATGTTCATAGATCTTTTTGTCAAATTCTTTGTGTTAGACACAAACCAATAGACCATATGAAGATTGTGTTTATTAAACATACTCAATCAGTCAAAATGAAATATTCTAACACGGGCTGGTTCAGACCACTGAAATAGATCAGCTAATTATGGTGCGTGTGGGTGTAACGGGTAGTCATCTGACTTTTGCTTTTTTAGACATCTTGCCTAGCACCCTGCCCCCTCCCCAAACCAGCCTTCAGACTCTGCATTACGTGCAGTATTAAGCCAGAGTATCTGCTCATTTTTTCATCGCTCATTTTCTAAACGCTTCATTCGATATGCCAGTGCACAATGGTAAGAGAAATCAATGGGAACAGTGGATGTTCGGTGTACCTGCAAGACAAGTGGGATGTACCCACGACCAGGAGCATGGATCAGGCTGCCACAGGGGAGTCCAAAGATGCTCCTGAGCTTTTTCTGCCATTCTGGTCCTGAGACCAAGCTGGGGAATGCTTCTGGATGCAACACTTGGAAATAAAACGTTTGTGAAGGAAGAGGGTTGCTTTCTGTTGTTCAGAAAACAGGACTTCATGTGTATTCTCACCACTAACAGGATGGTATCAAAAAGCTACTTAGTAGGAGATATTTGATACCGCTATCACATCTTCCCCTCAATGGAAACTGCCTAATTTTAAATTGTGGCTAACTACCCAGGTCACATGGGAGACATAAATTATAATTCAGAAATAATCACGAGTAGTAATCTCTTTACTATCGATTCCCCGTGTGGCCTCAAGCATGCTTTCCTCCATCCAGAGAGTGGAGGCATTAATGCTTTTCTATCTCGCACCGCAGATAATGTAAGTGCTTTCTGAATGTATGATGATGAATTTTATGGAAGCTGCGGAAAACGGGCGAATTTGGTCTCACTTAAAAGGATGTACAATATTGACCTTTGCGCCCAAGACCATTTTTCCACCCCGCGTGCTGGAGGTAAAGGCCAAGCGGAAAAAGTGTGACAGCGATCGGTAATTAGAAGGAATATGAAGCGGAGAGGCAAATTCCAGTTTTAATCAACTCATTGCTGCAGGAATGCGTGTCCACCGCTCCGCCGGCGCCGCCCCAGGGGGGCCCCGCGTTCCCCCCTCAGAGCCCCGCTGAGGAGTGCGGCTCCCCCAGGGCCCCGTTCCCTTGGCGCAGCGATGACAGCGGGCCGCGGGGAAACTTTCCGCGCTCAGGGCTCGGGAACGATCCCGCAGCAACGCGTGCGTACGGAGAAAGAAGTGCGGGATCCCCCAGCCCCGTGTGTGGAGCGGGAGAGAGAGAGAGGGGAAAGAGAGAGAGAGATCCCTGAGGGAGCGCAGGGGAGGGACAAAATGGCGCCGCGATTCAAACGCTGCGCGCTGCGTGCGGGCGGGAGGGGGCGATGGGGGGGGCGGCGTCCCGGCGGGGTTCACTGCGCCTGCGCCCGGAGTTGCAAGATGGCGGACAGTGCGGAACTAAAGGTAAAGCGCAGCTCCAATTCCCTCCGCGACGCCGCTCGGGGCCGCGCTCCTCTCAGCGCTGCGGGGCGAAGCGAGGCGCTGCGCGGTGACTCCGCGGGGCCGCCTTCATCTGACGGCTGAGGGACGGAGCGGGGCGGGCGGCGGAGCGGAGCTCTCCCCGCCGGGCAGTGCCCCCCCAGGCGTGGGGAGCAGCCCGGGGGGGAGGGGGGGGCAGCGGTCGAGCCGCCCTGAGATCTCCGGGGCGGGTACGGAGCGCTCCGCTCGGGGCCGGGGGCCGAGCCCGATGGCACGGCTCCGTCCGGGGCTGACAGGCGGCCGGGCCCCCCCCGCTCGGCCACGGGGGCCGTTAGGAGGCGTTGGCAGCCCCCCCACGCAGCCCTCCCCCGGCCCTCCCGTCCGTCAGCGAAGTTATTTCTCCTTTAACTCCTCGGGGGTGGGGAGCGAGCCGGGCTGCGGTGCGGTGCTGAGCTGAGGCCCAGCGGGATGAGGCCGTCGGGGGGTGGGGGGGTGTCAGGGAGTTCATGCTGAGAAATTAAAGCAAAAACCGACGGAACTTTGCGATCGTTTCGCGTTGGCGAGCTGGGGGTGTGTGGCAGCGAGCTGGAAAGTTTGAGAGTTTGGCTGCGGCTGTCACAGGGCTCTTAGCAGGAGGGCTTCTCTTCCCCGCTCTGCACTTCACATCACGAGAGCCGTACGCATCAGAAGTGCGTCGAATATGACAGAAACTTGAGATTTACAGAGCGTGACCGGGGAAACTTGTTGTCTTCCCGAGGAGCCCTCTGCTTTCTGCATGCAGCGGTTTCCCATGCTTTCATTTTTAGGGGCTGGCAGTGCAGGCACTGTGTATGTGCCCCGAAGTCTGGGCTCTGTGCCTGCCAGACCCCCATTCCCTTCAGTTCCCCTCCTGTCGTTTGTTTTTAAGCTGCCTTGCTTGAGCTGTGTTGCCCTCAAGATTTTTTTCCCCCAAGTTATCCTTCCATGTAATGAGCTAAAGCATTGAGGTTTGATTCCAGTGTTAAACTTCTGTTAATTTCTGCATGGCGAATGTGTGCAGGTACCTGGCTCTGCAGCTTTTGGAGCTGGGCTGTGTGCACGTGGTGATGCCTTTATTAGCATCTGATTTGAGTGCAATGAAGGAATAAAGTTTTTTACACTGTGTGTTGAGCTGGCAGGGTGGTGGTCCAGAGACAGCACTAAAAGGCACGTCTTCCCTATGAAAAGTGATGATGTATTGATCCTGAAAGCTTTGAGATCTGCCTGCCGAACGCCCTGTCCTGGTGTCTGCAGTGTTACAGCCACAGCTCGTGCAGAAGTGTATTTGTGCCCACGTGTCATCCCTGACTTCTTCATCGATCTCTGTCTGAATGTTGCTTCTTGAGTACCAGTGCTGAGAAATTATGATTTATTTTTTTTCTTTGAAGTACTGTTGCTACCTCAGGGACCTGAAGGGTAAATGTCAGTCTGACCGGTTTATTTTCAATTTCACTTCTCGGCTCGGGATATTTAGTGGTACTTGCAGGCTGGGACCGTAGGATGGAAACTCTGTGGTCTGTGAGAAGTTGGCTGGTTTTTGGTGGCTGCAAGGGCTTGGCAGTTTATGGAAGAAAAAACCCGGTAACTTCATATATTCGTGCTTTGAAGACTTCAGCATGGAGGGGCTTGACTGCATGTTTTTTTTTCCTCTAGGACATACGAAAAAAAATAAAAGAGAGGTGGGTGGGTGCCGCCCTCTGGGAGGGAAACATGGAAGTTGTGCTCAGGGTCATGTCTGTCATGTTCTGGGTTTTCCAGGAGCAGGCTGGCTCTGTTATTGGGTATTGGGTAAGGTGAGTGATCCTTGAAAAAAGGAGGCTAACAGAAAGCTGCTCTGTCAGGTTTTGGTGCAGGGAACGTTTTGGTGCAGGTGTACATCCCCAGAAAGCAGGCTGTTATGTTTGCTCTTTTAGTAAAGTTTAAAGAAAACTAAGGGGAGGGTTTGTGATCGAGACTCTGCTATCTGAGGAATGAACGCAGACTTCTTTTTATTACTTTAATTTTCTTAGGTGAAATTTTTCCACGTTTCTCCTCTGATTAATTAGGAAGTGGCATTGATTTCAGACCTTTAAAGCTAAAATCAAATGTAATAATTGGCAGTATCTGGCTTGCCCGTGCAGGGTGAAGTTTGTCAGAGTTTCTCTTTCTCTAAAACTTTCTTGCCTTCCTGTGCAAAGAACCACGGGGTGACGTGTGGGTAATGTACACACATTTAAATTGGGGAATGTGATACAGCGTGGGGTGTTGCCAGATGCCCCAAGTAAAACAAAAGATCTCGCTTTCTTAAGAGAAACAGCGGTCATCTTGCTTGCTGTAATTTTTCACATAATGTTAAGTCATGAAATAACGTTTCCTGTGATGTATTTTCTTACCACGATCAAGAGCGTTTCAGTCTTGTGCCCCATTAGAGAATGTTTGTCCTATTGAAAGAAAAATAACCAGATAAGATCAAACCTACTTTGCAGATCGTAGCCTTGTAAGGTTACTGAATTCTTTAGTTCTCTCCGAGTTCTGGATAAATTGAACCAATATGTTTTTATTTCTGCTGGTGAAACAAGGTAACTGGGAAGTCTGTTGTGCAGATTACCTCCCTAACTCTGGAGGTTGAGACATACGTGAATTTTCCCGATCTTAATTACTATTTCTGTGTAATTGCATACAGACTGTAATTTATCTCAAGGTAAGCTATTTAAAGCTCTTTCTAATTGGAAGGAGTATACTTGAGTGATTAAATCTTTCCTTCAATATTTCTTACATCTCTTTAAATTGGTTATTAGACTGTTGTGATCTTTGCCTTCTACTCGAGTCTTTTGGAAATCATTACACAATTTGCAATAATCAATTCAATTATACATGGATCAAAGAATGAAAAAGAAAAGCTTATGTTCTAGTATTGTCATTCTTGATACTGTCCTAAGAAGCTGGTTTGGTAAGCACATGCTGGGAGGTTTTCTCCTTTGTTCTCTCTCCTTTTAAGAAAGTGCCTTTGGGGATTGAAGAGATCCCTGGTGTGTTTCTTGTTAGACACAATTTATACCATTATAAAAAAAAAGTGAGCCAAGAGTTTGAATGAAAATTCATAATAGCATTTCCACACAGCATTGATGAAAACGAGCCATTTAAGAGCATGCAGTGGGGAAATACCCCTCCCCTAAATACGGGGAAGCGGAATTTCGGGGGGAGAGGCTGGCAGCACGGCTTTCAGGTGGTGGTGCTATCAGTGACAAATGGATCTCTGGTGTGGAAATGCGGTTGTTAAGTTGCGTTGTCGATGCTAATAAGCATAAGCTACCTATTTAGGTATTCAATTAGAATTTTACTCTTCTGTATTATGAGCTATTTTTGCTTAATCCTTTTATAAGTTGCTGGGGTTGCGTGTTTCTGTGATTAAAGGCAATATAATCCACTTTTCATTGTGAAGCGAGTCCTGGATTACGTTGTTTTCATGCCAGTAATTTGGTGCGTGTCAGTATCGCTGTATTTTTATCTGTACTGTGGTCTAGGTATCACTTCTCAGGCTTTTCTCTTCAGCATTGGCGTTGCAGATATCAGATGGATAAAATTGGCAGCTGAGCATCACTGTTGAGCTGTCAAAATCCCAATCCGTAACACTTCTTTATTGCCGATAAGGACAGATTGCTTGTTGTGTACACGTAAATACAGTGTCAGCACATTTCCAGTAAAAACCCCTCCCAGACGCCAGGGGCCATCCTGGAAGTGTTTGTGGGCTGTGCAGATGAAGTTTGTATTTATTGCCGCTTGTGAGAAAGGGGAGAGGATAACCGCCGGCTGCTCCAAATATCTCTGTTTTGGTTACAGGGAGATTTAGCAATCGCAGTTAAAAAGCTTAGATGGGAAGAGATGGGCGGGGGCAGGAGCACCTAACGTAGCCGTGTTCTCCAGGAGCAAGAGCCAAGCGTCAGCCGCGCAGGGGAGTGCTCAGGGCTGCTGATGGGAATGGCTATGGATCAGGTGCACGAGGGATACTTAAAAGCATCCCTTGGAGCTGGATTGGGGCAGTTAAGATTTCTTCAGATAGAAGTTATTTATGGGGATGGAGATGACGGATACGGTTTATAGTCTGACCTGTGCTTATGCAGAGCGCAGAGATAAGTGTGGACTTGTCACTAATGTGTTTGGCATGACGGGTTTTATTTCCTGTAATCTGTTCTTGTGGAAGTCAACATCTGATCGTTTTTCTCTTTAGCGCTGTTACAGTGGAAAACAAAACAGAACTTGTAAACACTTGAGGCTCGAGTGCTGCCTGTAATTGTTCAGAGATACCCCAGCTCTCTCCGTGGCTGCCGGCACCTTGCTGCTGTGCAGCCCTGGAGCAGCACTCGTAACCTTGTGCTGGTGGGAGCTGAGCCCCAGGGCTGTGGGCTCCATTGGCAGAGGGATCTCGTCTAAAACAGCTGAAGCTGGGGTAAGTGTGCCTGCCTTGCTGTGACTCAGTGTTTTCAACAGGTAGCCTATGGCCTTCTGTATTACCTGTTGTCCCAGAGGTTTGTGGCTGGGAAATGGATGGACTGCTTGCACCTTTTCTCTTACAGGGTGATACTGGTGTTTGGCACTTTGGCCCCTTTCTGCCTGCGACGTTGAGTTGTCTCAGCATTGACTGTTTACTTTTGCTGCTGCACTTCCACTTGGCAAAATTCTGCTCAGATGTGAGATGCTACAGGTGCTCCTTTCTTTCTGGTGGGAGACCCTGCTTTATGGCCCTCCATAAAAATAAAATCTTAAGAAAGCCAGGAGTGAAGAATGCAAACACGGTTCTGCATTTAAAAAAGCTGACAACACGTCCTATGTGTGTTCTGCAGTTAGCTCATGCTGTCCTTGGGGAGCAGGAACTTCACCTCTGGGTAGCAGAGAAAGGAGAAAAGTTTGTTCTGTTCTTAGGGGGAGTGAAAAAGGAAATCATTGTTTGGGTGACGGCTGGGACACGTGCTTGGCAGCTTTGGAGTCCT